GGGGGAACTATTGTTTGAGAATGCCTACTTGAAATCGACTTTGAGGACTCTCAGCAGCCAAGGAAACTGCTGAAGATTTGCCATAGCCTCCCAGAAGTGCAGAGTGGGAGTAGGAGTGGCTGACCCCCTGACCTCTTGACCCCCTGACCCCCTGACTCTCCGAAGGCCAGAGAGGACAGTAGAAGAGACTCACAGAAGAGGAGCATTAGCATGTGAAAAATGCAGGGGGAGGGAGGCTGGGTCTCCCTCACAGTAAAATGGCCTGGAGAGTAAAGTACTTGCTGTACAACATGAGGACTGAGTTCGGGTCCCTAGCACTTACCTGAGAAAGCCTGGCACGCAGCTTACCTCTGTACCCCAGCATAGAGGAGGCAGAGCTAGGAGACCCGTGGGGCTCACCAGGCTGCCAGCCTAGCCACATTTGTGAGCTCCAAGTTCAGTAAGAGACCCTGTCTCAAAAAGATAAGGTGGTGGGTGATTGAGAAAGACACTTAGCATAGACCTCTGGCCTCCATGTGCCCACTGTGTGTGAGGATTCCTGAAAAGAAACTGTCTACACAGGGAAATTGACTGATTAAAACTTCAGTGACATGGAGAGGTTGGAATGCTGTAGGTGAGAGCGATCTTTAGCCTAACAAGAGCCATTCCTTACACACCTCTGAGTCAGACCTGCCATCCTAATAAACAGATAAAAACTGCTGGAATGTATTAACTTAAAACTAACTGCCCCAGTGGGAGGGCTAAGACCGTGGTCACATAGCATCCGATGACTACCAGCCCTCTACCCAACTATAACCCTCCTCTCTGGTGTTTCCACCACGGTGTTTTTTTAATGCCTTGATTTATGGCTTCCTTTGTCTTGTTACCCATAAAAACAAGTCCACAGAACTGCTTCCATGTGGGAACATAAACCCGGGGTAACTTAAATCTGTGTTCCCAAGCCATGATCACTCAAGTTCAGCTCCAGAATAAACCATCTCTGGCCCTAGGGCAGAGCAGTCCCTGTCTGAGTTCCCTAGTGAGTTGTGTGTGGTAGCCAAGTGTGGGGTTCCTCGACTGCTTCACCCTGAGTGACTCATACCTTTGGATAGCACATCCCTAGGGCGACAAGGATTCTCTCAAGAATGTTCCCAGAAGTCTCATCCCTTCAGTTACCTAAATCTTCTCATTCCCTCTGACGATGAGGAAGCTAGCCACCATGTTGGAGCCCCTAACATCCATCTGCAGGGACCTCTTCCATTACATGGGTTTGCTGGAAGGATGACCCTCAGCCTCCATTGTCTGTGGTTACTGCTTCCTGGGCACGGCCCCAGCTCCGAGCTCAGCATACCCCACAAGGATCCTGTCCTGCCTGGTGGTGGTCAATATTCATACACACAGCACATGGAGCTTCAGTCCGTGCTCCCCATGAATGGCTGCTGAACTGATCAGGCCTGAATTTCACCAGATGCCTCTGCACTGGTCCCCGTAAGGCAACAGGCCCTCACTGAGAAGATGACCTATGAGGAGCCTTCATTCGGGAGCCAGGGGTGGAGTCCTTAGCCTTGTAGGAACATGCAGTTCTCTTCCCTGGAACTCCCTGTCTGTAGTCCCAGGCCAAACAGATGCAGAAACAGCAGCGACAGAACTGTCACCACTTTTCTACCAAGCACAGAGCGCTGGTCCTCCTGACCTGGCTCCCCCTCCCTGCATCTAGGGCAATGCTGTGCAGATGAGGGCCAAAGTAAGATAGCTAAGCCTCTCTGGAACCCTGTGAGACTCAGGGAGGGCCGACAAGGACGGGGAGAGAAGAGGCCGCTGAATTAAGATGAACAGCAGAAAACTGGGTCAGTAAAGTGGGAGGATTCAGCCCAACATGCTCTCTGTTTTATATGTTTGGAAACTTCTAGAGTGAACGTTTTCTAAAATTCTGTGTATCTTCAAATCCAGGTCACTCCCAACTTACACATGAAGTGATTTGACTACACACTACATATAGATAGGCCTCTTCCTAGACAAACTCAAACAGTGTGGCTATTGTTATCCAAGACAGAATATGTGCTGTGTCCATATATTGTGTAGTTGTTTTGTTGGTTAGTTGGTTGTTTTTTTTTGTGGGGTTTTGGTCTCCCCTTTGATTTCATGGCAGAAGGGAAGAGAGATGAACTAATATTTCATGAAGTCTTGGTGTGGTAGCTCATCTTTGTTGTCAATGTGGTTGGACTTGGAGGCCCTTAGGAGACACACCTCTGAGTGTGTCTGCTGAGAGCGTTTCCAGAAAGGCCTAAGTGAGGTCAGAGGACCCCCTCCTACTGTGTGTGGCACCATCCCACAGGCTGGGGTCCTGGACCGAACTAAAGATAAAATGCAAGCCAGCCAAGCACCACATTCTTCTCTCTGCTTCATGATAGTGACACATGGCCAGTCACCATGGCTGCTCATTCCTTCCGTGGTCCCCTCAAGAGCTGCTCATTCCTTCCGTGGGTCATGTCTTACACTGTTTCTTCAGTACAAGGTTGGGCTCACGTAGATGTCTCATAAAGATCTGTTAGGAAATGTAGCAGGAACACTGAGCACCAGCACAGCTGTCTCATGGACTAGTATTAACCCACCAAATATAAGAGTTTCTAATGGCATAGGGAAGAACTTACATGCTAAACGGAAAAATATTGGGATAAAATCTCATGTATTATTTATATTATTGTGTATGTGTATATGTACTTATGCATACATTATGACCTCACCCTGTAAAAATGAGCTGGAGAAAAGACTAGACAGATCTCCATATCAGGATATACTTATTTCTGGTTGGGAGGTTGCGGCACGCTCCTCGGCCAGCGAGGAAGAACGACCACCATGCGAGGATCCTTCTCAGAACACACTTTATTGGAGCGCCTCTTGATTAAGGGAGAGCGGGAGGTGAGGGGCCCCGAGGACTAAACTGCAGCTGCTTATATAGGGAATCAGGCAAACGTGCCGTACTGTAATTGGGTCCCGCCAGACTGCGAACACGGGGAGCCACGGGATAGGCTGAGGACATAAGGCCAATTACCATACTCGTGCATCATAGCCAAATATGGAGTTGTTTACAGCTAGGCTACCAGGAAGCCAGCGCCATCTTAGAACGGCGGCTCCCTACAGGAGGTTATTATGATTTTTTTCTCTTAAATTGTATTTTCAAAGTCTGGTTTAATAGTCTTCGGTGACAGGAGGCAGCAAGCATTTTCTGTAAAGGGTCAAATAGTAAAACCTTTTAGCTCCACAAGCCACACAGCCTCTCACATCTCTCCACTCAGCTGTGGTAACTACAAGCCATCATAGATGAAGTGGTGATGGATGGGTGAACGCGCTCCAGTAAAACTTTATCTGATTTGTCTCATGACTGGCTGTCAGTGGCTGGCCTCTGCTATACTATCGTATGTCAAAAAGTCAATGTTCTTTAAGATATTTTTTTTTAACTATAATGTTAGCACATGGCTGATGGGTCATGGTAGAAAAATCACCACCACACTTCATTCTGGTACCTTTGCACCATAAAGCATCAGAAATTAAATTTATTCATTAGCAATTTAAAAACAGATTTTTTTTTATTATTATTTTGTGTGTATGGGTGTTTGGCCTGCGTGTAGTATTGCAGCACATGTGTGCAGTACATGCAGTGCCCCTAGAAGCCAGAAGAGGGTGCTGGACCCCCCAGAACTGGAGTTCTAGCTGGTTGTGAACCTTCTTGTAGGTGCTGGGAACTGAACCCAGGTCCTCTGGAAGTGCAGGCAGTGCCCTTAGCCACCCAGCCATGCTCTAACCGGAAACTTTATGTGAAGCAGACAATGTTTCACAGTAGATGTAATCACAGATTTCGGGCTTTCTTTATAGCCTACCATACTAAGCTTATTTCAGTTTTCCTTTGTCCTCATCACATTCCTGCAACCTCTCGAACATCTCTTATTTTTTTCAAATATAATAAAGGATGTCTAGCAAAAAAATAAAAATTGTTTTTATTCCTTTTTTCTTCCAGATTTTCTGAAGCAAAGGCTCTGGGAGAAAGTATAAATGAAACAAGAAGTAAGATTGGTAAGCAGATGTTATTCTGGAAGTTTCTTTCACCATTTTCCAGTGGACTTTGGGTGGTGGTGTGCCTTCTTCCTGTAGCCACAAAGTTTAGCTTGCATCCCTGCCCAGGGAGCCGTGACACACACCCTCACTAAGGAAGGCACTTTCGTGTGTATCCGTCCTGAGCTGGGTGCTGGGCTCACTGCGTGCTGGGCTCACTGGGTGCTGGGCTCACTGGGTGCTGGGCTCGCTGGGTGCTGGGCTCACTGGGTGCTGGGCTCACTGGGTGCTGGGCTCACTGGGTGCTGGGCTCACTGGGTTGGCGTACCCCAGTGAGAAAGTTTCCCCTGTGTTTCAGCGGGAGCTCAACCTGTCATAGTCCTGTAGTTATAGCAACATCACTTCGCATCTCCCAGGGTTGTGAAGTGCTGTTACAGCTCCTAAAGTCGGTGCTGGGCATTTTTTGGCACAAGTGCACTTTCAGCCCCATCCATAAAGCCAAAGATGGGAGGCTGGAAAGAGCCAGTGTGCCTCTCCCAGCCAGGGAGCTCCCCCTTTAGGTGAGCTTGCCTGGAAAGGAGATGATAAGACAACAGACAAACTTGGAAACACATGTGCCTCAAACCTTTATCAAAGCAAGTGGAAATGTCTCTTATCTGAAGCTACAAACACAACCGGGACCCATCTCCCTGCCAGAGTGGCTCCGCAGGGGACCTTTCTGCCCCTGTGCTCCAGAGAGCAGCTGTTGCCTGTTTGCTACTGGTCCCCGGGCTCCTTCTTGCTGCCACCTCCTTCTCAGAAGCCACTCTGAGTGTCCCCTCGGGCTTCTTCTACAGAGTGTAGAAAACCAGGATCGCCTCAGTCCGTCTAAGTCGAGGGAACAGTTCCCCTCTGTGACTGTACAAGAAGGGGCTGTAGCAGCTGGACCCCAAGCCACACCTGCACGGAGAGGACGTCCCTGTCCTCATCCGGAGCCCAGGAGCGTGGATGGTGTGATGGCTGGTTTTCATTTTCAGGTTGACACAATCTAACAGCACCTAGGACAGGAGTCTCAAAGAGGAATTTTCTAAAACAAGTTGGTCTGTGGATGTGTCTGGGGTGAGTGGCGGGGTTGTCTTGATCACATTAATGGGTATGGGAAGACCTAGTCCACTGTGGGTGGCACCATTCTCTAGGCCCAGGTCCTGGCCTATGTAAAAATGGAGGAAGTGAGCTGAGAAGTGAGCAGTTTGCATATCTCTCTCTGCTCTTGACTGTGGATGCGATGTGGCTTGGTAGTTTAAGTTCTTGCCACAGTGACCCCCTTCTGTGATGAACTGTGACCTGGAATTGTGAGCTGAAATAAGCACTTTCTCCCCTAAGTTGCTTTTTGTCAAGACATTTTTATCACAGCGACAGAAATGAAACTATGATAGATGGGAAAACAAACTTTGCTGGAATTTAGCAGCACCATTGATGGGGGGGGGAAGCAATGGTGTGGACCTGGTGGCACCTGTGTAGTGGAACAGCCTTTGGAAAGTGTCTCTGATGCTTCTCCTGCTTTGACCACCGAAGCAGTGACCATACTCACCATTAGATCACGTTACTGAATGTATGTGTGCAACAATACATCAATATTTCTATATCAAAAAATGGTTTCAGAGCTTTGGTAAGAATTTTATTATAATTATCGACCATATATACATACTAGGCCACCAATAATATGCACATACCAGATTCCTTTCTACAATATGGTATACAAATGTGTCTTTAGAATAGAGAACAATATAACAGTGGCCCTGCCCATCCCGCTTATCACATATCAGATCCAGTTCACCCCCTTCTCAAAGGGGTTAAGGGGTGAAGACTATACCTGACCTATACAGACTGAGTATGTATTTGTGATTAATACAAATACATAAAAAAAGGACAATGAGGATCCAGACATGCTATCAGAAACCCCTGGCAGGTAAACATCAGGGTTTTATTTCCCCCAGAAAACATTGAGTGGAACTGATATCAATGCCTAGATTTAAGCTTCCAGTAATGCCAAGAAAGCAGCTCATTCAGCAGTATAAACAAAGCCAGTGTCTCACTCCACAGCCAACTCTACCTTTCAAACTGTCCTCTTGACCCTAGAGGACCAAGGTGAGGGACCGTGAAGAGCCGGCCTGACTGTTAACAATGCACTTGTACTGTCTAGCCACAGGGAAAAGCCCGCAGTACAGCATCACAGATGGCAGGTTGAATTGAAAGAGCTGAAGGATGATCTGAGCACATACTCAAAGTTTCTAAGAGGTAGGAGCAGAGCACAGATGGACCATGCCATGGCTGGGGTGGTGACTCAGCTCTGCCCCCAGCACAGCCACATCCCAGCTCTGGGCAGGATCAGATGCCAGGGAGTATGCTTGTAATTGGCCCACAGAGGAAACTACAGATCAACAACCCCGTATGTTTAAAGTTCAAGTAGGCACTGTCTCCTTGTGCAATTTGTTTTTCTCTGACTTTGTGACCTACAGCTATGTCTTGAGTTTCATCCTTAGAGATTCCTGAACACTTTCTATTTCACTAGTAGCCGGATAGTATCTAATTTTTATATGATAAAACTTTCCTATTTCCTTTCTTTAAGAAGCCGACTAACTAACTAGGTAGATAACTATTGCCAGTACTAGAGGGACAGCTCAGTGGTTAAGAGCACTTGCTGTGAATGCAAGAAGACTTGAATTCAAATCCCCAGCACTCACATAAAAGCCAGGTATGGCCATGGGGCAAAAAGATCCTGGGAACCTGCTGGCCACCCAGCCTAGCCAAAGAGGTAAACCTCAAAATGGGTGTCCTTCAGGTTTAGCAAGAGTCTCCGTCTCAAAAAATAAGGTGGCATACAACACACTTCCCCATATTACACACACACTCACACATATACATCACACGCACGCACACACACACACACACACACACACACACACACACACACGTGCACGCACGCTCTTCCAACACACTTCTTTCTGTCTTTATCAATAATTTGCTTATATCAATTTTGATCTTGAAACAAGTTGAAATCAAAATTGGGAGAAGTAACCAATTTAGAATCTCCCTGAAATTTTTTTTTTTTTGGTTTTTCGAGACAGGGTTTCTCTGTGTAGCTTTGTGCCTTTCCTGGAACTCACTTGGTAGCCCAGGCTGGCCTCGAACTCACAGAGATCCGCCTGGCTCTGCCTCCCGAGTGCTGGGATTAAAGGCGTGCGCCACCACCGCCCGGCTCTCCCTGAAAATTAATAGGTCTTTGTTTCTGTGGGGGAGCAATGGTATCTGTGTACCTGTCCCACACATCAGAGTAATCAGCAACTTCTGGTCACATGGATTATGTTTTAAACACTTTTGTATCCACTATATTACCATCCAGTCTGTCTCTAAAAATGCCATTGAGTTCAAAATCTTGGGACAGTAGACTGACTGCCTTAGGGCACCAGTCTGTACTTCTTGGAGTCCTGGCATCTGTCTTTCTGCACCAGTGAGCCACCACTGACTACATCATCTTTGGCAACAAAGGACAGTGAATGGCTACACCCTGCAGGTCCCTCCTACACCAGGCCAGGAACCAGCTGCCTTGGTAGGTAGGTAAACCAGTTTGACTGTAAATCCAGGCACCTGTTCCCCGACCCCCAGGTTCCGTTAAGCCAGGAAACTCAGTGGCAGATGGCATCGCAGGAGCTGGTCACTCACAAGCTTGCGATGCATTCAGACAACTGGATGGAGGGCTTGGGTTGTGGCTCAGGAGAACAGTGCCTTCCTGGTGTGTGATGGGCTCGGGATTCTGTTCTCAGTACTAAAAATAAAGTTAGCAGAGAATGTGGCAGAAGATGCTACGAGCCAGAGAAAAACAGAAAATGTAAACACCCCGGAAGCTAGGAACATGTCTGGACAGTTTCTTTCCTTGACTCCAAACTCCTTGTAACTGTTTGCTGCGCGCACTTGGGATGTGGAAAATCATTGCTCAGAGTTCCGTCTCCCTCTGCTGATCACGGGGGAGACTCTGGCGGCCTCCAGCTTTGCGTGTGTCCCGTCTGTGAGCAGCTGTTGAGATTCACTCTTGGACCTGCCTCCTGCATGCTGGCTTCTACCCCTGTATCCCGAAGAAAAGAAATAACAATAGCCACCTTGTTTTAGTAGATTACAATGGCATGAGCAGAGCATACCCTTTAAAACATGTTTTCCGAGTGTTTATTTTACGTGTGAGTATGCTGTGGCTCACCTGTGGAGGCCAGAGGCCAGTTTGTGCAATCCAGGTCTCTCCTTCCACCATGTGGGTCCCGAGACTGAACTCGGGCCATCTGACTTGGCAGCAAGCTCCTTTAACCATAAGCCATCTCGCTGGCCCAGCATCACTTTCTTAATCTCTCGGTTCTCCGTGAAGTGCCTCTCCACCGTCCCTTTGTTTTGCCAATAACAATCAGTCTTTGTGTAGACAGTTATGGTCTGTTATTTTACACAGCCACATCTACTGATCGTTTCTTTTATGGTTTCCTCCATGTTTTTGCACCTAGGAAGGGTCATTTTGACTAATAACAGGGGGACTTCATTGCTAAGTGTCTGTTTAATACTTGTCTAAATATTCTTACAGTTTTTTTTTTTTAGTGTTAACATTTTCTCGCATTGAATTCATTTAGGATTTACTGTGGAATATGGCATAAGCTGCGATTCAAAATAGGATATCTTTGAAATAACCAGTTTTCCTGATACCTCTTCCATTTTAATGAAATGTCTTAAAATAAAATGCCTCTTTTCCTCCTAAGAAAACACTTTCAAGTCTTTCAGGAGGAGGCTAATGTGTCTTAATCTCATCCTAACAGAGCCGCGACCTGATCATTTCTATTCTTATATTTCGGAAATAGCTTTACCGGTGGATACTATCATCTAGATATCAGAAAAAAAGCCCACAGTAAAGTGTCAACTGCATGTCACCCAGGCAGCTGGGGATGCCAGGGGACAGCGGCTTTCCTGAGTGGGTGGTCCCTCGGAGCTAGGCACTCTCCTAAGGGAGA